ATGTAGTAAAGAGAGAAGATGGTCATGGTATAGAAAAAACTCTTCATAGGAATCATTTGCTTCCAATTGGTTCCGTTATGTTTGATGTTCCTCAGGATATACCATTACCTCCTCAACCTAAACCTAGGAAAAGAAAAGCATCTGTTTCGATTGCTTCACGTGAATCTGAGGAAAGCGACGAGGAAGGAGAAGTGGTTATTGTGGAAAGGAATGATGTGCACGATTCCTCAGCTAGTCCCGCAATGATTGACCCTCCAGATGATCTAGATGACGGCAGTGATTCTTCTTCATCTTTAGTCCTTGACGAGCAACTTCCTCAAAGATCTTCCCGGGTAAGACGGCCACCGCAGAGATATCAGGATTATGTCATGTCTCAGTCTGTAACTACGAAGACTTGTCCACCATCAGTTCTGGCTCTAATATTGTCTGATGAATTTCTTGAGTTACCTTTGGACAGACGTAAATCTATTAGTCAGTTTTTGAAGAAAGAGTTTGAATTTTAACTGTACCAAATATTTTATTGGGTTTTGTTTTAGTTCTGTATTGATGTCGAGACGACATTTCTCAAAAGGGGGAAGTATGTAGCAGACGACATTTTTGACCTGTGTATTATTATGTAGGTTAGATGTGTTTACTAGGTTTTACTTCATTCACCTGAGCACTGATTAAAATTATTACTAATTGATATCACTTTACTAACAATGTCTCAGTGTACTTTCTGGCTTCTGGTTGGTCAATTTGAAGGTCCTTGGGGTCAATTTCTGTATCTCTTTGAAACATCCAAACTCTTCCTTGTTCATTCATATTATAGCTTTCTAGATATCAACAACACCTTAGATTGATCTCTATATCAATCTGTTTCCTTCTTGGTGATTTTTTGGAATACCTTTATATTTAGTACTTTGCTATCTTCAGCAATTTACAGGTATGTGTGTTATATCTCATGTAGGTTTTGTCTTGGGAGGGTATAATTTGCCATAGTAGCCATTTATATTGACTCATGTCAGAGTCCGGCTTATTAAATCTATTCACTATTTTAGCATACGTTATTTTAGTTCTTATGTAATAAGAAAAGGTTTTAATAATGTAATCATCATTTTCAGAATAATATAATTAGATGTTACAATAGAAGTAATTAATTGTAATTAGTATCCTTTAAACCCCTCTTAGGGTAGGTCATTATTTTGGTTATTTAGTCTGTAATATAGGTGTTTAAATACAGTGATTATTTATAACGTAATTTGAAATATATCTCCTGCTATATCGTTTTCTGTATATAGCTATAGTTAATGTTCCGCTTAGTTTATACAATTATAAAGACCAGTTACATATAATATTTAATTAAGTAGCTTAGTTTCCA